CAGTCCAGTCCAATCCCTGTCTGAAGAGTTGGCCTCAGAAATTGTTTTAGTTCTGGGGTGATGGAGAGACCAGGGGCCATGCTTTCCGGGGCACCACAGTGCACAGCTTTGTGGACAACTAAGCTGGAGTACATTGCTTAGGTTCATCATCCAGCCTGCATTTCCACACTCTGCTTCCAAAAACCGAAGAAAACATTTATATCCCTCCTTGGTTTAAAAAGAAGATGGTCATTAGCTCTTACGAGTCTGTATGTTGACTTAAAAAGCTTCTTCATGTCCTCCTGATCCTTTCTCCTATACTTGTACTGAGGCCCCCACGGTTGCTTCTCCAGGGTAATGGCAGACAGCTCAGAAGGAGCTATATACATCTCTGAGCCCCTCAAAGTGAAGAAAATCTATTGCCATCGAGTCAGTTCTGACTCATAGTGATCCTATAAGACAGAGTAGAACTGCTCCACAGGGTATCCAAGGCTATAATCTTTACAGAAGCAGACGGCCATATCTTTCTGCTGGGGGGAGGCTGGTGAGTTTAAACCACCAACTTTTTGGTTAGCAGCCGAGCACTTAACCACTGTGCCACCTGCACTCCTTTCAGCGTGGAGGACAATCTTTTATTCATCTTTGTACCCCTGCTTCTCACCTGAGTCCAAGGATCAGCAACTAATCCTGGGTGGATCAGAAACATACTGGTCAGATCCCTAGATCCCCCTCCTTTTCCTCATAGCCCAACATCTTCAGGGTGCAGCCTGGCTGCCCCCTCTTGAGTCCTGCTCTGTGAGAGCTCCTCCACCGACATGCCCAATATGATTATTGCATCGGGTAGAGCTGTGCTTGGGAAATACACATGGGATGGCTGAAGAGAGTATCTTTCTTCCTCATTCCACATGTAAGTGCTTAATAATGCAAATAATTAAGAAATGTGTGTTCCGTCCAGCTCAGGGTACCAAGAAACCCTGTACCCTTGCGGTGGATGATCCTTCTGAGAAACCTCTCTGATTATTATTCTGGAATTAAGTGTGTGCAGGTGACAGTTTCATTGGCATGTGTTCTCGCTGGGGAGCGCTGCTCCTCTCTGCCCTCCCCTTTGCTGTGAGTTGGTTGTGGGAACCTCCCCTCCATCTCCAGAGATCCTTCTACAGTAGTGAGTGTCTCCCAGTTGGTAGCAGCTCACAGCATGATCCAGAACAAGGGAAAAAGTATAAGGCTGAGGTAAAACATGTTGCTACTGAAAATCTGTGTTTCTAGTTTTGCTGTCTCTTGATAGATAGAGATGTAGTGTCTGTATTCGTTTGGAAAATGATTTTTGATCACCCTCACTATTCTGTGGTGGAAATATGATGGTGAGGAAGACCAAAGTGCCTTCTTTCATGGAGCTTGCGTAGAGGAGAAATAACAAACACAGAAGTAAGATCAGATAATGATAATTGCAAGAAAGAAAATAGGTTAATGGGATAGGGATGGCGAAGGGAGGAGCTGGAACTCCGTGCTTTAGGTAAGGTGGTAAGAGGGGGCATTTGAGCTGAGAGCTGAATGATCGGTGGAGATTTGGGTGGAAATCAGTTAGGCAGAGGGAACAGCAAAGGAAAAGGAAGCCCTTGGAGGAGTTTGGCATGTTCCAGAGATGGAGAAAAGGCCAGGAATTTGAACAGAGCATGGTGAATAAGGGGGAAGGAGAACAGATGAGGTAAGGTCTAGATCAGTGGCTTTCACCCTGACCACACATTAGAGTTATCTGTGGAATTAAAAAAAATTTCCAATGCTTGGGCCCCACCCCCAGAGATTGTGATTTAATTGGTCTGGGGTGGGGCCTGGACATTGGTACTTTTGTAAAAGCTCCCTAGGGAATTCATGGTGCATCCTGGGTTGAGAACCACTGGTATTTCCATCATTCAGGGTCTTATAGACTATGGTAAGATGTTTGGACTTTTGTTACTATGATAAGGGGTTTGGACAATGGGAAGCCACTGGATAGTTTGGGTTAGGAGGGTAACATGATCTGATGTATGTCTTTAAGAGGCTCACTGGCTCCATTGTGGGGAGTGGAGATAGGAGGTTGTTACGGTGGCCCACGAGAGAAGTGATGGTAGCTTGGACCAGGGCAATATTAGTGGAGATGATGAGAAGAAGTCAGTTGTAGGATAAGTTTTGGGATAACAAGATGGATTGGATTTGGAATGTGAGGCAAAAGGAGGTCAAGGTTGCCTCACAGCACTGGCCTGAGTAATTGGGTGGATGATGGTGCCATTCACAGAAGTGGGAGAGATCAGGGAGGAGCAGGTTTGAGAGGTAGATGGAATAATTGTGTGAACTGGTTGGAGGGAGAACCTTAGACTTGTCTTCTCCCTAAAGTAACTTAGAGATATAGGTAGCTATGTGAGGTTGACTAAAATATTCTGAGAAATCCCGACTCGAATAGTACTAATAGTTTTCTTGAAGCCTTCCATAGGTAAACACCAAAAGCCAATGACCGTTTTAGTGCATGGGACCTGTGAGGAGAAGGAAGGAGGAGAGCAGAAGAGAAGCTGAAGACATTGAGCTTCTTTCAAGTAGAAATCAGGCTGGGTGTGTTGTTGTTAGCTGCTGTCTAGTCGGCCCCTGACTCTTGGGGATGCTATGCACAATGGAACGGAATGCTTGCCCGATCCTGCACCATCCCCATGACTGGTTCGGGATCTGATTGTTGTGATTCATAGAGTTTTCACTGGCTGATTTTCAGAAGTCGATCACCAGGCCTTTCTTCCTAATCATCTTAGTCTGGAAGCTCCACTTAAACCTGTTTGGCATCATAGCAACACACAATCCACCACTGACAGGCTGGATGTAGGGAAAGGATATACCTTGAAAGCTTGCATATAGTCAACCCCTGACTTGCTGCAGTAACGAATGGCACGTTTATACACAGAACACAAACTAGCAGGTTAAGAAATTTGCATATGACTTTAAAAAATTTCCTCTGCAAGAAATTACCTTCCAAGATATGTCTAGCTTATGTTAAGATTACAGTTAATCCTCTTTCCTTGACCAGGCCCTGGGTGTCCAGCAAATAAAGGTAACTCAGACTTTAAAGTCAGAAGCCAATTATTAGAATTGAGTACACAGAGAACAATATGGAATTTGTTAGAATGGTTTATTTTTCCCCTTATGGAAGAACCTGGGTTAAATTATAGTGATAGATTGTATCAATTGGTTATTTAAAAAATCCTGATTATAAGCTTCTTGAGGGCAAAGATTATCTCTTACGTGGTTTCTATTTTTTTTTTTATGCCTACAGTCTCTCCTCCTTCTAGAGCTTTTTGTTTTATTTGTTTATTTGTAAAGTTATGGGATCTTTTTAGCTGAAACTCTTCTGGAGTCAGTGCTTGACTGAATAGCCAAGCAGGAAGGTGACCAGAAGGCTTCTAAAGTCCCAGCAGCCCTTCTAAGGCACCTCTTTGTTCTTTTTAAAGAAACTCAAGATGTGGCTGCCTTCACATGAAAGATAAGAGAATTCAGGGTGACACAGCCATTTGTAAAATGACCATGGTCTGAAAATCCTTAGTAAAGAGTTTTTAATTGCAACTCTAAACTTCATGGGCGGTGCTGGCAGCCTGTGAGATCAGGCTGGGTGGTGCTGAACTTTGAAATGTCATCTTCTGGGGGACTCCCATGTGGTGAGATGAGCAAGAGCATTCATTGCCCACTTGCCTGCTTAATGCCTTTTTGTCCACATTCACTCACAGATAACTGCAGCGATCTGAACTCAGAACTGCAGAGGGTCTTGACGGGGTTGGAGAGTGTCGTCTGCGGCAGGAAGAAGAGCAGCTGCAGCCTCTCCGTGGCTGAGGTGGACAGGCACATCGAGCAGCTGACCACGGCCAGTGAACACTGTGACTTGGCTATTAAGGTAGGGCCCCCTGCTGCCCGTCTATCAGAGCTTTCCATATTATATGAGGGGAGTGGTCACATCCTGTTTGGGTTTTCTCAAATATCTGTTAGGGACGAATGTTCCTATGAAGGCCATACGATAGACTGGGCCACCAGTTGGAAGTAGGAGTCTCATAAATTCTTATTGGGCTGAATTACATCAGCAAAAGTCATTAAGTCAATAGCCAAGATCACTCGTTTTGCAGCAAAGAGAACAATGTACTCGGAAACTATTAGACTATGAATGGTGAACTACCTCATTTTAGTTTGGCTCATTTATTAACTTGGATGTTTTAGTAAAGCTTTAAGGCCTCCAGAATATTATTTCAGGAATAACCGATTCATGGTGCTGACAAAGGGAAGGTTCAGGTTCTGAATGGGCCTGTTTTCACAAAGAATAAGTCATCCGTCCCAAGCTCACTGGAGCAGGGTCTCAGCCACACTTTCACAAGCAACCATCTTACTATTGAAGGAGGATCAGGTGAGAGGAATTCGCTGTATCTGCATCAACTTATGGATAATGGGAAAGGCAACTCCTACTGATACTGGGCCTCTGGTATCTTCATATGACTTAACCATAGCTTAGTTACCTAGGCATAGCCATTCAAACACTGCCTAACTTAAAAGTCTGGGTGGAGCCTGTGCAAGGGGAAAATGTGATGTGTTGTTGGAAACATATCTTAGGACCGTAGGTCCCAGTTTCCATCAACAGGAGTCCTGGCTTTCACAGAAAAGCTATGGTGTCTCAGTGTAAACTGTGACAGATGTTTATGATACAGCTGGTTTTTCATCTTTATTCATCTCAATTATAAATACACAGCTGATGTGATTTGGGATGGGGAGAAGCAACCTCGGGTGTTTCTTTCCCTGGAGTCTCCCAGGCTCTATATGTGATTGCAACGTCAACCTGGACGTTAGCCATGGCCTCTGGTTCTGCCAACCAGAAAGGGGGCATTGTGGACCTGGAGCAGGGCCAAGTGGGATAAGAATCTCGGATTTGAAGAGAAGGACAAAGCACAACATAGGGAAGGTGACACCAAGATTTGGGTAACTGTTTGCATCAGGGAGCTAGTGTGAGCATCTGAGAATGATATACCCTTACGGTCTTTGTATTTGAGGACTTCTGTTTCTCATGTCCCTTCACTGTCTTCTTCCCCTACACATACTTCTCCCTCCTCTTTTAGTATCAGTAGACTTATGCCTCCTTTTCCACAAGACAATAAATGTGAATGAATAGTTCCTGAAAGCAAGCAGAATGAGTGCTTCCTTTTTTTTCTCCTAATTTTATGCGTTTCTTTCCCATTAATACTCTTTTAAATATTTTTTTAAATTCTTTATTTCCAAGTACTATTAAGATTCTGTTCTTTTTTGTTCCTTATTTGTCTTATTAAGTAAGCCGCTGCTGTCTTAGAAACCTCCACAGTGAGTTTCCTGTCTTCTGTGTCACTGAGGTCTATTTTTGTCTTTCCCATTTGGGGACTGAGCCTTAGTCATGCCATCTGAATTCTGATGTGACTCTAAAAGCTGGAGATGGTGATGTTACCTATCTTACTGCTGAGTTTGAACATGGGAGGCCTATAATTTAGCGAAGTCCAAGTTAGATTTTGTATGGAGTTTGCAACTTCCTGTTTGTCCTTGCATTATCAGGATCACTAATTGGCTTGCTGTCTGGTCACGTGTATTCACCAGCTCTGGAAATGGAATGAGGGAGATAACCATTTGTGTGGACATGGCAGTTAGTGCCACAGATAGACTTAAACACCAGGGAGGGACAGTGTTTTTCTTGCTCTGGAGACCACTGGGTAACACAGACTATGACCCAGGCAAATGACAGAGCTTCACTGAAAATTGGGGGAGAACGATCACTAGTCACAATACTACTTGCAATGAGGTGTCTCTAGAACCGACTCCTTTGTGGACACTTGCTGCTGTCTGGCCTATTTTCTTCCTCTCTCCTTTCTCCAAGGAAATTCACTTGGCTGTTCTTTGTGGCTGTGTTTTGCAGACAGTTGAGGAGATTGAGGGGGTGCTCGGCCGGGACCTGTACCCCAACCTAGCTGAAGAGCGTTCTCGGTGGGAGAAGGAGCTGGCTGGGCTGAGGGAAGAGAACGAGAGCCTGACTGCCATGCTGTGCAGCAAAGAGGAGGAGCTGAACAGGACCAAGGCCACCATGAATGCCATCCGGGAGGAGCGGGACCGCCTCCGGAGGAGGGTGAGCACACCGTTCCCAGCATGGGGCAAGAGGAGCTGGCGTGTAAAGCCAAAGAATTTTGTGGCATTTGTAGTGTTGGAAATCACTATCACTTTCTTGTTATAAAGTCATTCTTGAAAGGAAAGTAGTTTGAAAGTGTGAAAGTATGGAGGTAAGACTTAGAAAAAACACTTTCCTGTGGAATCTCAAGTTTAAGTGCATGGTAAAATTATATTAGGGCAGTAATTCTCAAACCACTCTTCTAGGAATGCATGTCTTCCCCAACCTCAATTAAAATGTCCTCCTTTAGAATAGACTAATAATATGTTTTACAAATTAGAAACAAAATATAGCATTTTCCCTTGTTTCAGTTTTTTTTCCCCTACAAAATTTTCTTTAACTTTACATTACCTGCTCTCTTATCTGTATAGAATCTAATGTAAAATGTTATCTAGTGCAAACTTATTAAAGTTAAAATAAAAATCAGTTGCTATCAAGTTGATTCCAACTCATGGTGACCCCATTTGTACAGAGTAGAACTGCTCCGTAGGGTTTTCAAGGCTGTGACATTTTGGAAGCAGATCAGTAGGCGTTTCTCTGAGGCACCTCTGGGTGGGTTCAAACCGCCAGTCTTTCGGTTAATCGTTGAGCACTTACCAATTGTGCACCCAGGGACTTCTAAAATTAAAATAATCATATATTAGTATCAACCATTGAAAATCCTATGAAACACAGTTCTACTCTGACACACATGGGATCGCCATGAGTTGAAATTGACCCTATGTCAATTGCTGTGTGGTGTGTGTGTGTGTTTGTGTAACTCCTGGTATTCTGCCCAGTGTACCAAAGGCTTCACCATCTGGACTAGTTTGAGAACCACTTTGTTTAGGAAATACAGCCATTACTACAGGATAAAATTACATTACTTCCAGGATAAAAATGTTTGGGAAAATTGTTAAAGCACTCAGTTTTCCAGATAGCGTTTTTTCCCGGGAACCCACAAGTACTTCTTTGTTTGGCCATGAATTTGAGCTGTGATTGAGCTAAGGGTGAAACAATGAATTCTTCAAGCAGAAACAATTACCTCTGAACTTCATTTTGAACTGCTAGACCTACTTTACTCTTTTTCTTGACCTTTGCAATATTAGAAGTTTGCTTTCTAGTTGTACCCTGACCGGTAATTTTGCACACACATAAAGTTGAAACAGAGGGAAAAAAAGAAATCTAGTAAGTCTCATCACCCTTCACCATTGCTCTTTCTTTCTTACTCCTTGCCTTTAAAGAACACCTTGGAAATAACTTGTTCTTTAATAAGGGCAACATATGTAAATCATTCTGGTTTTAATCTGCGTGTAAGGTTTTTTAGTTGCTATTATGTACGGGTATGGAAGAATCCGCATGTGAGATTTTTTAGTTGCTATTATGTATCAAATGACTATTTTTGAATATTATCCACTTTCCTCCTTATTTGTCAATAATGCCATAATTAAAAGGCCAGCACTCCTGCCTCTCATGGCTGAACTGATGTGCCTAAGCATGTTCTCGGTACCAGCTGTATCAGATGCCACTCTCCAGACTTGCATCAGCAGGTGTACATCACCCCAGTCAGCAAAGGCTTTATCTGGGCAACCTAATGAAATTTACTTAGTGCTAAAGCCTGCACCACCTGTAATTTCCTAGGTTACACTCCCTGATCATTATGACTAATGCCCTAATTGGTGTGCGTGCTTTTAGCATGTGTTCTGATGGTGCATGTTTTGTGAGGGAAATATTGCTCTTAGGTATAATTACATATTGTGGTTTAAAATAAATTCTTTCCTCAAACTTGAATTACTAAAGCACAAGACAGCCCTTGACTGTAACTAGCAAAATGTAAAAAGCCAACCTTCCTTCTCCCATTGTTTTCTCCAACTCAGGCAGTCAATATTGAGAGCAGCATAGTATGTGGTACTATGTACCAGGGACTCTGGAGCCAGACTGCCTGAGTTCATAGCCTGGCTGACCAAGTCACCTACCCTCTCTGTGCTGCAGTTTACTCTGCCATGAAGTGGGAACAATAGTAGCCAATGCAGGATTGCTTGAAAATTAAATCATACTCATAAAACGCTTAGACAATGCCTGGCACGTACTAAATGCTCAAAAATTGTTAGTTATTTGAGGCCAAATTTAAAGTTACCTGTTGAGTAGTCTAGAAAGATTAGCACCATATCATCTTTTTTTCCTAAGATTCCTTAGGTATTTGAACAACTGTAAGATTGACACTGAAAAATTTATCTTTTCTCTCTCTATATATGCATTATAGTCAAAACCTTTCTTCTAATCACATGTATTACCTTTTATATTTGTCTAGTTAATATGTTTTATATAAATTTGCATAATTTATATTCAAATTACTCCCAAATAATAAAATGCTAAGGACCTGCATCTCTTTCTCAACTGGAAGCATCCTCAGGAATTGGTACACACAGCCTTAAAATAGATTTATTTGCACTTCAGGACAATGGTGACTCTTGTAGAATTTACTAGATGACTTTGAATGCTGGACGACTCCCCCCACCACCCAATATATTTCATTTCCTTGGGAGGGAATCTGTCTTTTGTGGTTGGCACTGTCTTCGGTTCGTGATGTGTAGTTTTGTGGAGTGACTGCAGTGCAGTTTCCTTTCCATCCTGTGAATACCACATGATACATGGCTAGTTTGCCTTTCCTGGTTTTATAGCAGCTCTGAACCCACAGTTCATCAAAGCTGCCTGAAAAGCAAATGGGGCCACATGCTTTGTTTTGGTTTTGTTCTTTGCCTACCTTCATTGCTTAGAACTTTAACTGACCAGATCAATAGGATTGGTACTTGTCCCCATGCCTGTAATTAAACAAAGTGCTCTCAGTAGGTTTTCTGAGCCTTGTTCAAGATTTAATTAAATTAGATCTTTAATGTATTCAGTTAACAGATTGGGTTGCTTTGCAGAGCAGTAACTAAGGAACAACAGGCAGACAATTTATATTATTAGTCCCAGTTCATTATTAAATGAGATAATCCTTTATTTCTGCATGCTCTGTAATATAACCATTCATTTCCTCATACTTGAAGATATGGGCTGAATTTAGGCTAGGTAGAATTAATTACTCCAGAAAGGAGGCACTTTGCTCTTCATTCATTTGTTTTATAAGCATGACTAGGTATTATCTTCTCTGTATCAGACAGAACAGGACACATTCCCTGGCTTCAAGGATGTTGGGGATACAGGCAAGTAACAGGTCACTACAATGGTGTGTGTCAAGAGCTAGAGCAGGGTCAACACAGACGGTGGTCGGGAGCTCATAGGAGGAACAGGTGATAGCAGGGTACAGCGTTTTTAACATAGATGGTTTAGGTCAGCTGCCACGCAGCAAAAATGATAAACGCTTTCCTCAGATTGTTTGGTAAAGCACGCATGATGTGACTGCAGGCACATGAATCTGTGTCCCATTTAATCAAAGACTTGAACCAAAACACAAGTTCTTTCTGAGATTTTGTACAAGTTCTTCAGAGTGTTGTGCAGTTCACGGCATAAGGTGGTGGTAGCAGTTTCTGCCTTCTACCTCACGCCCCCCTGGGTATTTTCAGCATGGCCAGGAATGAGTTCCATCTACTTCTCCTTGGCTTCTTCCTTCCTTGGAGTCTGACTTCTGCTTTGACTCCCTGGTCATCACCATAGTAAACTCAAGTGACTTGATAACACACTGTTCTGAACCAAATAAAAGTCACCCTAATCTGAAATATTTCCCTCTCTACTTTTCCCACTCCTGCTCAAAATGTCTTAAAAATTCTCAGTGTTGGTTACATTAACCCGGCTCTCTGAAGATTTTGGTTGAGAGTGAGGAGGGCTGTGTTTCTATAAGAAGCACGTGTCTGTCATTTCCAAATGAGTTCCTCTCCATATGTAAATACAGTATCATTTTTATGAAGGGGTTTCATTATTCTGTGTTCATAAGACGCATGTAATAAAAATGGGATCACCCAGTTCAGCTAAAGTTTCTTAATATATGAGGACTCTAAACTCCAGATTTTTAAATGCCTATTATTTGGCTCCATGGTTAAGGAAAAGGTCAGGTAAACTTCCATAGTGCTTCAGTGCCCTTTTCCTTCCCTCTCACGTCATCCTCCTTAACAGAAAGTAACACTGAGTTCCTCTTTGTTGGGGATGGGGAAGGTGGTGGGAAGGAGTAGCGTGAAACTGGGAAAAGAGGGGTGAAAGGAAGGGTAGATGAAGGTAAGAGGAAGAGAGGAATTTCCTTCATACATTACCACTCTCTGAGGGCCAATTTACTCCATAAGCTTTTAAAAGTAACAATCCTGTTTTATACTCCTTTGGGCCACTTTTATGTTTGTGATTGTGAGAGGTGTGAAGGGGCTGCACTGTGTCTACCCGCAGTCATGCTCGTGCAGTAAAGACCCCGGAGGGGGTGTCCAGTGCTGTTACACTCAGCCAAGTGTGCAGAAAAACACACAGGTCAGGCACTTATCCCATGAACCCACCAACTGGGGCGATTTACAGAGCATCGTAGTCTATGACCCGGAGATCTTCCCCCAGGGCCATTCGTTCTGAATCAGTTGGTGCCAATTTCTTAACTGGATGCAAACACCAAATTTGTACACCTTGAACACTTGCCACTTTTTTTCCAAGGGCCCTTTGATTAGTGGTCATGCTTAAAGGAGTTGGTAAAAGGGGAATTGGAATTAAACTGAAGAATCTGCTTAGAGTAATTATCTTAAAGGTTGGCCATGTGTTTTACTGTGTATTTCTTTCTACTAATTAATTCACTTTTAATGTATGTTTACTGCTAGGCTGCCCACTCTGACTAAGAAGTAAAATTTATAGTGCCATACTGATATGTCCAGAGTGTGGTCTGTCTCTGAGGCAGCCATTTACTTTGTCTAGATTGTCTCCTGTTATATGCTAAGTCAGGATCGCTTTGATTATTTTTAACTAAAAAGCAGTAACAGTGGAGATATTTCTGGAAGTGAAATTGTTGTGACCTT